GGGGAAACCCACCCTCTCTAACTAACTAAGGAAACGTTAAGGAACTCTCATATTCCCTTGTTATGGGCTGGGATAGCGCAGTCGGTATAGGGACTAGCTACTGGCTAGACGGCCGAAGGGTCGGAGTTCGAGTCCCGGTAGGGTCAAGAATTTTCACTTCTCTATGTCGTCCAGACAAACTCTGGGGTCCACCTAACCTCATATCCAATGGATACCGGGGCTCTATTTCCGGCGGTAAAGCGGCCGGGTCGTGAAGCTGACCACTCACCTCTAACTAATGCTGAGGTCAAGAAAACATGGGTGTAACAGCCACTCCCCAGTGAGCCTTCACGGCATAGTGCTTACTTAGTTAAGTACAGGGACAACTTTTTTCTTCTCCTTGGCACTACAGCCCCAGTGGGCCTAGGCCTACCTCCATGAACTTCTCCGTTCACTTCGGTTTTTCTAGATCTTACACATTCGGTAGGACTCCTTGGGCGGGTGATCAGCTCGTCGCAAGGCCTCTACCTGTACACAAACACAGAAAAACACACACAAACTAAACATCCATGCCCTGAGTGGGATTCGAACCCACGTTCCCGGTTTCCTAGCGAACGAAGACAGTGCACGCCTTAGACCGCTCGGCTACCGTGACCGGCACAGGGACAACTTTGCCTTCACCATATTCTCTTGTTTGCCGGACTGCTGGCTGGATAGTCAGCATGCATCCGGAACGTTCTTTGATTAGTAATCTCTCGACGGGTTTTCTTGGGTTTCCTCTGCCTTTAGCCAAATGCTGAGACCGTTCCCAAGTTCCAAGTTGCTACTGCGTGCTTCTTACGCAACCCTCCCAATTTACATTCCTCAAAATTAAACCCGTTTGGTGTAAATACCACGAAATTACTTTTCCAAATTTTGCAGGTCTACATTAAGTTTCACACGCTCCTTGTTGGCTACGTCTGGGATCCTTCTAACAAAATGGCGCTCTCTCTCCGCTCACAATTAATTGTCCCTGACCTCTCATGACTCTTTCCTTATCGCCTACCTTTCTGCCGTTGTGTGTCGGGGGTTTTTGCTCCGGAGCGCGAAGACGACTATACACCTTCCAGTGCCGAAGTGAGGAATTCATAGAGCTATACCTCCACTCTCCCGTACGTCTTCATGACGTAGGGATTGATTAAGCTGGTCGTAACCTTACCTTTCACTTTATCATTTTTTCATTGCTAGTGGGGTGGGACTAAGTCCCTTGTACTGCGGCCACTTCTGGCCTATTGTACCAGCCCCAGATGATAGGTGAGGGTGATTGTGGNGTGGAATGAAGATTGGCAGAGGAAACCGAAGTACTCGGAGAAAACCTGCCCCAGCACCAATTTGTCCACCACAAATCCCATTTGGCCAGACCTGGGATCGAACCCGGGCCACCGCGGTGGGAAGCCAGCGACTAACCGCTTGAGCTATGACGCGGCCTTCACTTTATCATTACCGACGTCTCCGTTCAGACTTTCATTCAGGAGATGAATGGTTCAGATCTCGGCCAGGACATGGACTATCCTACCATTTGATACTGTGTAGCCAGGGGGCACGCTTTAGCGTAGTTGGTTGAGGCACTATGCTACAAGCCGGAAGGTCGCAGGATTGAATCCCAATGAGGTCATTGGATTTTTTCAATTTCCCTAATCCTTACAGCCGCAATATGGCCCTGCGGTCGACTCAGCCTCTAACAGAAATGAGTACCAGGAATCTTCCTGGGGGGTAAAGGCCGGCTGGCGCGTGAGGCTGACAACCTTACCGCCATGTATGAGCCGATTATCTAGAAAATGTGGGAACCTCGACGTCTCAGAACCCTGTGGGCCTCCACGGCCTGATACAGGGATACTTTTGCCTTACTTTTAGTTAGAGCTACTGAAAACATCTTTAAATAGATCATAAATGGAAACAGAGGCTCATTATGCAAGACGGAAGTACTGAAATGTGCAGTGCTGAGGGGAGCAAAGCAGCGCCATGTGGTCTGTGTGCCTACACAGTGTTCACACGAGGAGTGGCCTCGCGGAGCCATCTCCCCTGGACCTGCCTGCAGCCTCCTACACAGAAATGTTGCCAGTATTGTCCGGATAGAGATAGACGCTACCGAGCGGGTTCACTTGGCGGTAGCGGTGTTCACTCATATTCCGAAAGTGCTCGTTTCGAATGTCGGATGGGACGCCGACTTTCTTGACACCATGATTTTCCTCACTCCCTCCAGGGACATGTCTGGATATCGTCAATTATGTCACGACTGCTTCCCATCAAATTCTTTACAATTCATCCACAATCCGACGCTATATATACAAGCTGCTGCACGCGTTCAGCCCATATCCCGTTGCTATACCGACTGAGCTATCCCAGATCCTAATAATAATAATAGTCCGTGGAGTCACGAGTCACGTCCGATGCATCGTAACGTTTCAATGCCTTTGAGCCCAGATTCCGCCTGTGCAAGGGAACGTCGCGGTCAGGTGGTTACACCTATTTCGGTTCGGAATGTCCTGGCGTGGACCCGCAGTCCGCAGACAGGCTTCTCCATTCTTATCATTTAACGCCGTATAGTCTGAGCTACTTAGTAGCGTCGTCGTATGAACCAGAAACACTTGTAGGCGGCGACCCGGGACAGCTCAGTGAGTGCAGTGACTAGGCTACAGGCTATACCACCAGAGAAACTGACTTCAATTCCTTGGAAAGCAAAGAGATTTTCTGTTCTCCACAACGTCTAGGCTGATTCTGAAGCCCACCCACCTTCCTATCCAATGGGTACCGTAGGTTCTTTCCGCAAGGTTAATACTGCTAAAGCTAGTCACCTCAATCTAGTGCGGAGGTGTGTCAGTACTTAGCTGCGCAGCGTCCCAGCTGTAGGGTGACAGAATTGATGAACTGGAGAGGACTTGGAAGGACGCTGTCCTGACCTAACAGACTTGCTGTCTCGATATTTGCCTGCAGAGGCTTAAGAAAACCACAAGAAAGCTCAGTCGTGGCCGAGATTCGAACAGGACACCCTCCCGAGGTTAAGGTGAGTGTGTAACTAGCCCACCCCTCCACGCGATGCTGAATGAAGTGCAGGGCAACTTTGCAGTTGAAATGTCGCCGAAGCGAGTGCACATGTGTTCGTGTGTGTAGCAAACATGATGACGCCCCCGTACCCCGGAATGATGTACCAGACGTCCCAGGGGATGCTGTACGCCGCTGCCCCCACATCGGCCCTCCCGAACGGAGTGATCTTCAGTCTGAGCCAAGGCCAACTCCAGCTGCAGCACTCTGCAGACTCCGGTAAGCCAGTGTTTGCTGTCTGCCTTGAGTCTATACACTCTTCCTAAACACCTGTTCTCGTGTGTGCATTGTCAGTTGTGTGTGGTGCTTCTACGGCACGGCGTTTCGCAGCTTCGTCGTATCAGGCCTCAGCGTGATGCTCCACTGTTTGAGGCGTGTCAATTCAGCGGCTTGTGTTTCCTTAACCACGCCACTTCTTTTTGTTTGTACCCCCCTTTTTCTGAAAAACATTAAACATTTGAGTTGATTTTTAAGCTTTGAATATTTCTCTTGTATGCCGCATAAATTATTGCGTTTTTAAGCTATAAACTGTTTTTTTTTGTTGTTTTTTTTTAGTCTTTGCTTTGTACGCATGTGTAGACAAGAGATGGTTTCCGCAAGGTGCCCCGAAAGTAACACCACATGCACGAACAGTCTGTTTGAGAACTTTTAGCGAAGCTTCTCTGCTCCATCTTCGCTCTTTGCGTGATTGAAGTCCTGTTGTGTTCTCTTAACAATATACAAAACACCGACAGCCTGAATATGAGTTATAACAAACAAGGGCAATTACCTACTTCATGACAATTTTTCTGTTGACTTATTTTACCCTGGAGATGGAAGCGACCTATTCCCCCGAAACGTCGGTTGACATTTAGCGGACTACATGCTGTTATATGCCAGAAGATGGGATTCTTCGTAACCATCGCTGTCGGAACCTCGAACCCCACAACTAATTGTTTTTATTTTATAAAATCACGACATGTTTCGTCCAAATATTGATGAATACGAAGTGCACATTTTGCAGGTAGAAACAGATCAGTGGATTGCGTATTGTAACTTCATTTCGCTGGAAACTGGATCCAATTCCAGTGAGTTATTACAGTGTCTTGCCTCTAGTACATAAAAGAAAGTACGTAATCAAATCTATTTTTTAGTGTACCTTCCCTATTACCGAAGAAGGATGAAGTGACAGGAGGTTGGAGAAAACTGCATAATGAGGAGCTTCATAACTTGTACTCTTCTCCAAGTATAATTAGAATGATCAAGTCAAGGAGGATGAAGTGGGCAGCGCAAGTAGCACGAATGGGGGAGAAGAGGAATGCATATGGGATATTGGTGGGAAAGCCAGAAGGAAAGAAACCACTCGGAAGACCAAGGCGTAGGTGGGTGGACAATATTAAAATGGATTTTAGAGCCAGGATGGTATGGTATGGATTGGATTGATCTTGTTCAGGATAGGGACCAGTGGAGGGCTCTTGTGAACACGGTAATGAACCTTCGGGTTCCATAAAATACTGGGAAATTCTTGAATAGCTGCAGATTTTCTCCTCAAGAAGGGCTCATCTCCATAAGTAAGTAAGTAAGTAAGTAAGTATTTTCCCTATTTTGGAAAAATAAAAGTAGGCTTATGAGATCACCTTGCTGTCTGTTGCTAGGGTTGCTGTTGGGTTGCTAGGCAGCGGCTCGGTAAACACGTTCACTCGGCAATGAATACACACGTAATGGAAGAATTTGTGGATGCGTCGTTTTCTGTGAGGTTCTTGTCGTACCAGAGGAAAGCAGGCGAGCGCTTCGTCCCAGAACTTGCTGTTCTAATGTTACGGCCTAGTAGGACAGCACTTAAACATGCAACTTGGATTTTGGTCGTAACATGATTCTTATATTGTGACTGGCCCTTGGTGAGATTCGTTTATAAGCCGGAAAGTGTTCAACACAATCCCAAGGTTAGGTGTGTTGTTTTCCTCGTATTGCCGCCCGGTCTGGTGATACATCTGTTGATGCAGTGTTCTCGTACTATCATCCGTGTCAGCCGGATAAAAGTTACTATCAGGGACCATCACTGTCCCCCTCACTGTACCCTCATAATGGGAACGGAGATGATCCCTGAAACGTAGGTCACTGAACGTCTAGAAACTGCCGTCGCTTTGAAAGCTTCAGATCCTACTCGGTATGCCTCTTGTTTCGCTGTATATTATAACTTCTGTCATAAAGGTAAAGCTATCCCTTTAACAGGCTGTGAGACGTCGAGGCTCCCACACTCTCTAGACAGTCGGCTCACAGATCGCGGTGAATTTGTCAGCCTTACCTTCCAGGAAGATTCCTAGTACTCATTTCTGTTAGAGGCTAAGTCGACCCCAGGGCCATAGTACGACTGGAAGGATTAGATCCATTGAAAAATCCAGTGACATCATCGGGAATTGAACCCACAACCTTCAGGCTTGTAGCATAATGCTGTTGTAATTGCATATTTATAGTGTACTAGGGCCGCGCCATAGCTCAAACTGTTACTCGCTGGCTTCCCCCCGCGGGGAGGGGAGACTGTTTCCCTAAGCACCATTAACCGGTTGGGCTCTGTAGCGGAGGCGTAATGTTTCCTGCGAGGTACGGACTGAATTCTTATTGACGCTGATCATTCTGAGCCCTTATTTATTTGGATGATTATAGGTGCCAATGAAATTTATTTCTAATTAATTCTCGGTAATTTTAATTTCAAAAGTCTTATGTTTCGATATTACTGGAAATTTATTGTGATCTATAATATCGTATTTCATTGTCTGGGACGTGCAATACGGTGTTTATGTTGAAATTTCTAGATTCTGGCAGGACCAAGAAGTCCGGAGTTCTGACATTTACGAGCCGTCATAAATTTAGCTCGGGTACAGGGAACCGGACGCGCCTAAAAGGAAGGTCAGTGAGAAGGACAGGTCAGAACTTGTTACAATTGCCTGTGAATGAGGGCCATTATGATTGAGTTGCCTAGTTCAAACTTCCCTACGGAAGATGGAATGAAATGTATATGTCCACACCATGGATAATTCGATTTATTTCGAATTCCCGGCGTGGGGTATGCAAGCCATTCCACAAAAAGGAGACTTTCACCATATTCCGAAGTGAACGGACGTGACCCTTGCGCGCTCCGAGACATAGCTTGCAGATATAACTTAAAGCATAAGGATACATAAAATTAACAGTGGTTTGGAGAACAAAAATGTGAATAAACGTCAATTGGATCAACTCCCAGAATACCGCTTTCTTCGGCATCGCTACCGACCCAGCTAGTTTCCCGTACCTATACCGACCTCCTTAGTTTGATCTGTGAGGACAACTTGCAGTGGCCATCATATCACTCTCCTAAGGTGGTAACAGGTATAGCAGGGATAGCACCATTCCGACTGAGCTGAAATTCAAACAAAGGCGGTTTTCAAAGGAGCGGTGTTGTTATGTATACTGCATTCTGCCCCACAAAGTGTATCTGTGTGTTCCGTATGGTTCTCAGCGTGTGCCTGGAGTGACTGAAACTACGAGAAGCTCGCATGCTGATGTCCCCGTCGAGGCACTAAGCCAACCCGCTCGCTACACACACGCATAGCCCGGAAGGCCACAATTTAATCTTGACCACTATGTATAGGCCGTACACAAGGGCGTAAGGCCAATTCGTGCTGTGGCAGCACGGTAGCCCCCGCAGAGCGCACTTCGGTAGGTGACAACGAAACTGTGCAGTCAACTTATCTCACGGGACGGCGATAACACTGATCTCAAGGCAAATAAAGGCGAGGATTCTGCCAGGTTTTCTTTTTCCTTCTGCTTCAGTTCTTCCCTTCCACACGCAGGGACTAGTGATTTTCTGACCAATAAAAATATCTGAGTGTCACAGACGAAGAACTGTTTTGAGACCTGAAATACATCGACATGGTATTAAAAATGTAATTCCTGTCTCACAGAAAACTCACCTACTGTGTTTCCATTACAAAGACCAACAGGTAAATGAAGTTCTGGGGGAATAATCGCTGTTTATTCTGAGATTCGTACGAAACACATAAACACGTGCGCAAAATGAAGAAAGTTTTAATGATGAATCACGTGACACTACTGTTAATTTGGTTTACCTTCTTTTCCCCCACCTTCTTCTTCGTCTTCTCTTTTTTCCTACTTTCCTTCCTTCCTCCTGAGGCGCTGTATGCCGGCCCACTTAACCTCTTAAAGGACAGTTGTTAACATACGAACGTTAACAATTGTAGCGCATACATTTTTTCTAATATATGTATTTTTGTATGCAAGATATAAGCCAGCTGAATCCATGCAAACATACATTTATTATCTTCTCATCTACATCTAGGTCTCTTCCATTCAGTGATCCCTTTAGCTTTCTGTTCGGTGGCAATAACTGATAAACCGTTGGAGCTGGGTATGAGAAATGTCTTCGTATGCACCATTTTCTTTAACACACTGAAACTCTGCATTCTGCCCACAGAGTGTATCTGTGTGTTCCGTGTGGTTCTCAAGTAAACAGCGACTGTTTCCCTAAACATCAGTAACCGGTTGGGCTCTGTAGCGGAGACGTAATGTTTCCTGTGAGGTGCGCACTGAATTATTATATACATACTGCATTCTGCCTACAGAGTGTATCTGTGTATTCCGTATGGTTCTCACAGTAAACAGCGGCTGTTTCCCTACACAGCAGTAACCGGTTGGGCTTAGTAGCGGAGACGTAATGTTTCCTGTGAGGTACGGACTGAATTCTTATATAGGTATATATACTGCATTCTGCCCACAGAGTGTATCTGTGTGTTCCGTACGGTTCTCACAGTAAACAGCGACTGTTTCCCTACACAGCAGTAACTGGTTGGGCTCTGTAGTGGAGACGTAATGTTTCCTGTGAGGTGCGGACTGAATTGTTATATACATACTGCATTCTGCCCACAGAGTGTATCTGTGTGTTCCGTATGACTCTCACAATAAACAGCGGCTGTTTCCCTATACAGCATTAACCGGTTGGGCTCTTTAGTGGATACATAACGTTTCCTGTGAGGTACGAACTGAATTGTTATATATACTGCATTCTGCCCACAGAGTGTATCTGTGTGTTCCATACGGTTCTCACAATAAACAGTGGCTGTTTCCCTACACGGCATTAACCGGTTGGGATTTGTAGCGGAGACGTAATGTTTCCTATGAGGTACGGACTGAATTGTTATATATACTGCATTCTGCCCACAGAGTGTATCTGTGTGTTCCGTACGGTTCTCACAATAAACAGCGACTGTTTCCCTAAACAGCATTAACCGGTTGGGTTCTGTAGCGGAGACGTAATGTTTCCTGTGAAGTACGGACTGAATTTTTAATGTTTTTCCTATGAGGTACGAACTAGGGTTTTATATTTTTGTTTAGAAGGAATTAAGAGGCCTGACACCAAGACGAAATGGTTGGTGGTAAAACCTCCAGTTGCAAAGTAACTCCTACTCTAACACTAACTAACTCAGTCTTTAGAGGGTAATTTAGATGCAGCAGAATCTGTGCCAGTGTCACTTGTTTTGCAGCTGTGTCAGAATTCGCAGTTTGCAAATAAATGGTTACCGTAAGCAGAGTGGCCCCGCAGCTGTTAGTGTCAGATAACGAGCGTATGCGAGTTTGTTCCTGATGTCATTACTATATCAGTGCCTTCGCGGTGATAACGTCTGCATCCTTTGACGAATTAAGCCCTAAAACAAGAATCCTACAGACAGCTGGGCGGGGGATCGGCCCCGTCGCAAGGCCGCTACCTGCACAGGGCAACGCAGACACATAAGAAACGTACACAGACATCCGTGCCTCGAGTGGGATTCGAACCCACGATCCCAGTGTTCTAGCGGGCGAAGACATTTCATGCCAAAACCGCACAGCCACTATGATCGATCCGGTGGTTAGTTGTTAATTTAGTTCTTGGATGTTTACACCATTTACTTGTGGAAAATGTCGCCGTTACAGAGGTACATATTGCCTCCATCTTCAGGCTCGAAGTGTGTACGGTGGGTGAGTGTCTGTGTATATAAAGGTTTATGTTTCTAAGTGAACACAGAAACTTATCCATCCCACCTAATTCGACCCCAAAGATGGAAGCAGAATGTGCCCCCCGAAACGTCGACGAAACTATCCATATGCATACTGTGTAAACAGTCGAGAGCTGAATTGCGTCAGTATTCCTTTGTTCTTCGCAAGAGATACGCTTGCTTCCCATCTTAGTACCACAGTATACAATGATGACGTGGGATTTGTGGTGGACGAAGTGGCATTGGGACGGGGTTTCTCATATACTTGTGATATCTCATTCCAGTAATTGCTGCACATTCATGGTTACAATGTCATATACACTAAAGTCTCACTACTTTTTTTTTTAATTTCGTCAATTTACAATCTACTTGACCACTGTAAGCAATAAGTAAATGCGATGGGTGTTTATGTCGTGAAGGGCGGCAGCTGCCCAGTGGCAGTACTCTACCTTTTAGTTACATAAGTCTTCTGGCCAGGTTGTCCTCAGTCGTCTTGCTGCTGGGTGCGGTTTCGTTAATTCAACGATTAGCGGGTTCTCGTGCCCTGTTATCCGAGTACGGTGTCTGGTGGCATGTTTTCTGATCTCTTCCGTGATGAGGGGTATGTTGAGATCGTTGTGGATAGTTCCGTTTGTTACGTACCATGGTGCGCCTCTGATTCTTCTTAGTGTTTTCGATTGGAATGTTTGGAGGATTTTGGTGTTGGATGGTCGAGCGCAGCCCCACAGCTCGATGCCATAGGTCCATATAGGTTTTAAGAGTGCCTTGTATAACAGGGTTTTGTTCTCCAGGGACAATTGCGAGCGTTTTCCTAGCAGCCAGTGCAGCTGTCTCTCTTTCAGCGTTAACTGTTGGCGTTTCTTAAAGTTTCAGTACTGACAGCGTCGTTAAATAACCATCGTTTTCGTCTCTTCTTCTTCGGTACTATCTCCGTTTCTTCCTTTTTCAGTTATTCCTGTCTTTCTTATATCTTTCCATTTTCTTCCTCTGGGTTTCCCTTTTGTTTATTTATTTTCCTCTCATTTTGCTGTTCTTTCTTTTCTCTTTCGTGTTTTCCCGCTCCTTTCATCAGTGGTTTGTACCTTTAATTTTTATTTATTTGTTTCGTTCTCTTTGTGCTTCTTTCTTACCTCTGTTTCTTGTTCAGTTATGTCTGTTTCTCGCATTCTTCGTTCGCTTTGCTGTCTGTACACGAACCGCCTGCACTAACGGACGGACGGACGGACGGACGCATGAGGTGTGTGCTGCATGGTCAGGTACACTAATACGTGGTATAACTGCCCAAACATGGACGAGGCGAACTGTTCAGCTATCGGGTCAGTGGGGGAACAGATTACGTCTGATGTCGCGCTCTTACCCTATCTGTCCGTGCAGATTTAATGGCGGATTGTTATGAAATTATTCACCTATGGCTGACTTGAATGTAATTAAATCAATTAGTCATGACAGTTAATTGCTATGCCACTGTGGCTTTCTGCTTGGTAACCGCGTCGTGTGCTTCCACAGCGGCACTCTCATTGGCCCTCCTGCAGACCTGTAACCAACTGGAACGCTGCAGGTGGTCCAGTGAAGTCACCTTTTGTTATTTCTTCGCATCAGGTTACTTCCTCTTACTGAACCCAACAAGTGCTAAAATTGCTCTCGTGGCAGTTTTTCTGAATTCTATGGTCAAGGAACGTTTGGAATGAAGATTTCCCTGCATTTAATCAAGTTCTTACATTTTTTGTTGTCTTTTTTCGTTTCAAATAAAGATGAGCAACTCTCTCGGCCAGAAATGGGGGCCAGAATTAACCTCGAACCAGTGGAGCCGGTATAACTGAGTCAGTATACTCAGTAAGCTACGGGCTGGACGAACGAGGAATAGGGGTTTGATTCCTGCCAGAGATTTTCTTCTACATGGTATCCAGGCCGACTGTTGAACCTACCAAACCTCCTGTCCATTGGGTACTGAGAATTTTTCTTCTGGGGTAAATAGGTCGAGGGACGAGGCTGTCCACTTGCCTCCGTNGGGGGCATGGAGCTTGCAGTGTTCACAGCGACGAAGCTTTGCGCTGTGGTACCGTCGAGTTTCTCAAGCGGGTTAACCTGCTGCCTCCAACTTCGGGATAGGAGATACCTTTCGTCTTACATCGGCGGCTACAGCTCTCAAATAGAATTTTATATATGTGTTGAACTGTCTCATCGTGCAGAAAATGTCTAGCCTACTCTGGAAAATGTATATCTTTCTGTGTGTGTTTAACAGTATACAAGGAATAGCATTTGGTGCTGGTTGTCAAGTATGGGCCATTTTGAGCCGGAAGCCTTCGTTGTAGGCCTCCATATACCGCGTTTCATCCAATTTTGTCCAGTTATTTCGAATTGTTAGCATATCGACAGTGTAACGGACGGGTAAACTGAATTCTCATATGTTTATATATTTCCTTCGTCTATTTTTCCTTTATTTTTGTGAGGCGTAGTTTCCAGTAGCATCATGGTATGAGAAACTTGGTACAGTGTGTGTGTGTGTTTAATGCCTGCTGATTCACTGTTAATTATCATATCTTACCGTCTCTTGGCCATGCGTCCTCAACCCACCGTCCATAGGCCTCACATCAATAGAGTGATTGCACGTTTGTTTGATGCTTGTTGGGTTGTGCTGTCATATCTTCCCCTGTCCTTGTGACAAGTCTCCTGCCTGCCATCCCTCCTGTTAAAACAGATCTCACAGCAGGAGAGTGATTTTTGTGTGTTTCCGCAGGTAGTGGTGGATCATCTTCTTCATCGTCTTCATCACACCACCACCACCAGCAGCAGGCCAGCCCTCACCAGCAGTTCATAACTATCCCCCTGCCAATGGCTCTTTCTGCTGCTGCTGCAGCTGCTGCCGCAAACGGGAACCACCATCACCACCATGGCGCCAGACAGGAGGCCGCAGACCTCACCAAGAGCCGAAAGTGACACAGGCTGTATGCATGGGCTTTGTGGCCTCCCGATCACCCGACTTCAACTGATGAAGGTGCTAGTAAAACCACGCACAAACACTGGAACATGTGTGTGTATTGTGACATAGTTCCTGCAGATACTGGTTGCTGAGGCAATGAAATTTGATCATTCACAGTTGGACTCGCCAGGATGGCTCTCCTCACATGTACATCCATTAAAAACAGACGATGCTGAGAGAAATAGCACAGACTTTAATGGCTGTTCTGTAGAAATTATTCTCACCCTAAATTAATAAACGACATTTGTAACGTTTCATTATACAGTCACTGTGAGTGAAGAGTGCATGTAGCTGTCTACAGTTGCTTTGAAAGCAGTCTGTCGGACCGACTAAATATGGCTGCACAAAAATGCGAATTTGTGCAGCAAGACGTTCGCATGAAGTGTTGGCAGTTCTGTGTAATTCATGGCCACACAGGGAATAGGATGGATACTCTGTAGCTACTTGTGTTCGCAGGTTCTGCAAGAACAGGTTGTCAGGCCAACTAGCAAGCTTCGCTTGGGTCACCCTTCAAACCTGAAGATGGAAGCACTAGTTCCATCTGAAGATCTACCGAACGTCAGACATTTCATCTCGTCATGTTTTGTTTGGTTCTCTGAATAATCTTTATTTTCTTAACCATCTGGTGTTGCATGTTTTCTTGCAGGTGGGAACCAGGCTCTTAAATAAAGGATGAGAATCGACCTTGAAAATATGAAGTAGCTCTGGGTATTTAGTGATGTTTATACAGTAGCTGTGTTCTTACAGTGTAGGACAGTGTCCAGGTGAGGGCAGCCAAGAGTGTGGACAGTGCCATGCCTGGACAATATGGTAGTATGGATATCCGCTGGATTGATAGTATCCAGGTTCTGCGCAGGCGGAAATACCGCTGCAGGTGACCAGAAGTTCTGCCCTTTCCAGCCCACGTATAAAATTTTGGGAAACTTTATCGCAGTTAATTACACCAGGTTTCCAGACACCGCCAGACACAGCGTTGTTGGTGTTGTGATTTGTATATCAGTTGCATTTGCATTCTGTTGTACTGCCAATTAATGACAACAGTGAGAACAAAACAGCATAAATTAATTTTTATTTAACACAAATCAACCCCCGTCCCAGAGAATTGGTTGTACGTTGTGCCACCTGCAATCATGCCGCCCCAGGCAACTGTTTGGTTCGTTTGTGTTGTTGCTCCAGCCATGGTGACATTTCTGCTGCCTGGCAGTAATGACAGCCCCTTTTGTTGACAGTAGTACCTTTATTGCGAGCGAGTCTTGACAGTATCACTCTCTGCTTGATGATGCAATAATTGTCCGTGTTGTATCATTATTGCCTGAATATAGGTATCCTCTGTGTTGACAGTATTTTTACTGCGTAGTGGTGTATTCTCAGTTGATAATATTTCTGTGTGTAAGGCCGAGAGTGTTCATAGTCTTGCCATTGTTATAAACAATTTGTAAATTCTTATGTGTTCTCTGTACAAAGGTGACCCTGTTCGGATGTAATGGAGACATCTATGGAGGACTGGTGAAAGTAACAGTGGAACACTCCACTATATAATTTCATGGCTAATTCATAACGTTTTACAAAGAAATTAGGTCTTATACAGACTGTTAATATTTAGGAATTTAATAAATAAACTCGTTTCTGGTTTTCCTGACAATTAAGTTCATGTAAAGTGGCTGTTAGATTGACTCGCGTGTGTGTGTGTTGATTTCACTTCGTCACATGACAATATGCCTACAGATACAGGGCTATATAGGCTTTAATTGCACATTTGACATGTGATAGACCATCTTTCGAGCTTAAAGACGTAGGACACACGTTAGGAATGCCAGAGTTGACTCTCAAGTGACGGACCTACAGTAATATGCTCAGTGATATCATATTCTTTGGATGTTCGCACGTTTGTATGTGTCTCTCTGTGTGAACTTTCCTCTGTTCTCGGCGTGTCCTTTCAGAGCTGCTTGCCTTGATGTCTTACCTATATGTAATGTCCTTAAACACTAACACCGGTAACCCTCGTGATGCGTGTTCAGGAGGTAGTCGCTTCAAACCTCGACCTGTACACCGGATATCCTGAGTGAAGTTTTTCGTGATATTCTCCAGTCTTTCCAAGGTAATTCCTGGATAGTACCTCTGTTAGGGCACGACCACGTGTTTCCAAATCCTCTCCAATTCCTCAGTCATCATACTACTGAATAGCATAGGGACCAGAGCATGGAAGCATTACTGAAAGGCACTGCTTTACTGAGTAGCCAGATAAATCAACACTGACGATGGTGCAGGAATTGTAGTGTGAGGAATTCTCAGCGTCACGGCATAAATTATATTTTAACCTGATGATACTAAATGATGACATGAGTGACATTTGTGAATAATATACAATTTAATGTAATGTCTGCCCGATGATGCATAAGGCGTATACATATTGATCTACTTTGAAGATAATTTATGTGAGGAGAAATTGCAACTGTAAGATTTGAGGTTTTCATGGCCGTGACAGTGAAGAATGCTGTCTTCTAGAATGTGGCGCCGTGTAGATATTGTGTACACCGACGTTTCGGAGGAACGTATCGCCTCCATCTTCAGGGTATAAAATCGAGCAGGAACCAGCGTGAATAGGTGGTTGCAGCGGATTTTTATACCCTGAAGATGGAGGCGATACGTTCCTCCGAAACGTCTGTTTACACAATATGAACACGGCGCGACATCATAGAAGACGGCATTCTTCAGAAATTGGAATTGCTTGAGTTTCTTGCTATGTCTCGACACTGCAATAATAAAAGACAGGCCTCCGTGGGAAAATGTCACTGTCCTGAAGGGGTTCAAGAGAACAAAACTGTTCCTCTGTTCTGGGATGAAACGCTGGGTAGTCCTTTGGAAGTCAGTAGACTTTTCGTACTTGGCTTACTCTTCAGCCGTCAAGAGAATGGTGACATATTCGACATGTCATCCACCAACATTGATACTTTTGTCCCCTCGCTTTGCCAGTGCATCGAAACCCGCCACTTCCTCACCTCCGTTTCCTCTTCGCCATTAGCGAAACGTTTGCCACTAAATTGTGAATCGCTTTACATGACAAACACTTCCCACCGTAAAACAGGAAATATTTCTTGGTGAATATCCTTTGCATTGAATCCTTTTGCTCACAAAAAACGCACAACAGAACGCTGCTCTTCGATAGTATACTCCTCAAGCACTGTCACACTGTCACCATTCTGACTACTAAAACCAGACTCTGAAAATGCGCATGCGCGTCTGCTACCTAGAAGCTGAGTTGTGCTGCTATCTAGTGATGCATGGAGAAAACCAATTACATGCATTACAGCTGTTTTACTTACCTTTTTGACCTGTTTACTGACTCTTCCTCGTAGAATAGAGGAGACAACTGAAAAATGTTTCTTATACTCTGCCTGAAACTGAAACATTTTTGAAGGTAGGTCATACCATGTGTAGGCAGCCTTACCGGAAGAAAAGCAGCCCTGTTTGTTCAACAGAATCTCCAGTATGGTGAGGTTTATTCCTGTCATCGTGACGGAATATAACCATTTACTAGCAACGCTCGAAATAATGGAGCTAGACACGGAATTATCCATTCGCTAGGCAACGGTTCATGCACGTTTCCGAGAACGTTTTCATGATGAGCAGTAATGGAACCCCTGGAGGCGATGATCTCTGTGAGGTTCTCTCGCGGTTATAAAATGGAGTTCATTCGTAAGAGACATCAGAAGGCAGTTCAGTAGTCTAGGTACAGACAGGCATGGCTTGTGAGCTGGCATAATTGATTATAATTGTAAAGAAGTGTCAATAAATCCAATAATCTAACCCAGAAGCCATTATTATTCGTGACGCTAACCCCGATACGTGACACTATGCTCAAAATGAGATCCAGTAACTGCCTGTCGATGACACACTGTTTCACGGGCTATCTGGTGATGACGCACACTATAGATGATTTTTCTTGTCGGAAATATTCTTTAGTGCACTTCATAATTTGTGAATTAACCTTACGGAAGAAAAGTCTTATGTGTTTCATGGGTTCATTTACAATTTTTCGGTACTCTTGTCGAATGGTAGGGTGATGGATTAACGATGAATTTCAAATGGTTTAGAAGGAAGCGATTGGGACTTAATCGAGCCACTGCCCTGGAAATTGCAGCGTCCAGATCCTTCCAAGCGCACTGTGGCTTTGGGCTTGATTCAGCCTCTAACAGAAATGAGTACCGGAAATCTATCTCCCTGGGAGTAAAGCGCGGCCGGCGCGTAAGGTCATCTATGAGCCGATTGTCTAGAAAATGTGGGACCCTCAACGTCTCACAAACCTATGGGCCTCCACGGCCTTGTACAGGGACAGCTTTACCTTTTCGACGAAATCTGTGGTATGGCGATTTTGATTGTCTTTGTGCGATCAAAATACACATAGAAGCGTCCGTAGACTAATTTCAGGTACAAACTGCAGCATTTGCCTGGAGGGACCGAGGATGAAAACCTTCCAGGATTTTGGGTCACCTGGCCGACATTGAACCTCCGGCATCTCGAATGGAGTGTTTTGAGGATTTTGATGATTTTCCTTTGCGTCATCAGATAAATTCTAGGATGATACCTTAAATTAGGCCACGACCACTTTCTTCCACGCCCTTTCCTATTAATTTTTTGCTAATAATCCTACCTTTCGGCGATATATAGTCTGAGTTCTTGGGAATGTAGTTGAATAAACCACGCATAAATAAATAAATACAATTTAAATTCACTGAGGATAAATTATTTGTTAGTTAGTATATGAAGGTTTATCCTAGTGGAAATGTGGCGCAGGAAAAGTCGGCACACTGTTACATTGAAGTGTGCCTAGCCTCATCGTATTGAACCGTGTATATCCGGTTCACAACACCGACGCTGTCTTCCGGTGTCCAAACGCCCCTCCCCATTCATACAATGCCCAAAATCCCAGATATCCTAGTCCTGACTGCTCTCTGTACTCCATGCCAAATTCTTGGCTTTCCTTCATCCATAGGTGCCCACTTCTTACCAACATGTCAGCATAATCGTTCCTTTCCTGTAGATTTTATAGAATATGGCGTATCGCGCACTCTTATAATTTCTCTCATTTTCATATGCCAAATTTTGCTTCTCCTACACGTATCCACAGCCGGTCACGGTAGCCGAGCGGTCTAAGGCATGTACTGTCTTCGCTCGCTTGGAAACCGGAATCGTGGGTTCGAATCCCACTCAGGGCATGGATGTTTAGTTTGTGTGTGCGCGTTTTTCTGTGTTTGTGTACCAGTAGAGGCCTTGCGACGAGCTGATCACCCGCCCAAGGAGTTCTACCGAATGTGTAAGGTCTAGAAAAACCGAAGTGAACGGAGAAGTTCATGGAGGTAGGCCTAGGCCTACGTACCCGCCGATCTCTACACAAAGTCCATTTCAGTAGCCACGAATAAGGACGAAACGAGATATCGATATGCAGATCTGTGTCATGATAAAGCAGTAGTGGAACCCTAATTCCGGCGGCGAAGTATGTCAAGGGTGTTGCTAGTCCACTGTGCACTGACCCTTAAGGGACATGTCAGAGATCACATTATTCCGAGTGGATTTCTCGTCTTGTTGATGCGTGAAATGTTTTGAACCAAGTGATCTCAATAGATTTCATCAAAGCATATCGTATTGCATTGCGCAAATGCACCTATATACTCATTTCGTTGTTCGTTCAAACTGGGCACTCACACAAGTTTTTAAGAAGCTCTTCTAAATAAATAATTTGGCATATAGTGAGCGCTGAGGACAGAGAGACCATTGTTCCCAGATCCACCTATCGGCAGAATTTTTTTGTTTATTGCTAGTGGGGTGGGACTAAGTCCCTTGTACTGCGGCCATTTCTGGCCTATTGTACCAGCCCCAGATGATACGTGAGGGTGATTGTCGAGCAGTTGGTGGAATGAAGATTGGCAGGGGAAACCGAAGTACTCGAAGAAAATCTTCCCCAGCGCCACTTTGTCCACCACAAATCCCATTTGATCAGACCCGGGCCGCCGCGGTGGGAAGCCAGCGACTAACCGCTTGAGCTATGGCGTTGCCGATATCGGCAGAATTAGTATTGCTAGCAACCAGTGAACGCAGTGCCCTATCGGCGCGTTGTCTTACTGTAATCTCGTGCAACATCTTAACAATTTCCTTGTATAGACAAGTTACAAAATGTGAGATTTGACGTTATCGCTGCTGTAACCTTAAAGATTCCCTCCTCCTGTGGTGTCAAGCCGTATGGTCTGGTAGATATGAGCCAAGGATTCCTGCTGGTTCCATCCTCAGGATAGAAGTATCGGTAAATACCAGACTATACAGTGTCACATCCCAGAAGACAGTAATCTTCATAGTCTCCGCTGTGATAACCTGAAAACTCAAGAGTATGTTGGCTGTAATTTTACTTCTAGGATCATATGTAAAACGTACCTGATGGAGCTGCAGAGAAGTTAGCAAATGTACAGTTGTAAGATTTGAGGCTTTCAAGGCGGTGACTGAAGAAAGCAGTCTTTTGGGACTGAGTCTGCTTTTACCGGTTCTCACGGTCTCTTCGCTTGCAGATTTCTTATATTTTTTCTTCTACCCTGAAGATGGAGGCGATACGTTCCTCCGAAACGTCGGTTAACACCACATATACACGGTGCCAAATCCCAAAAGACTGCTTTCTTCAAATGTACAGTTGGTTGAAGCACTATGCTACAAGCAGGAATATCGCGGGTTCATTTCCCGATGAAGTCATTGTTTTTTCGATTGACCCAATTCTTCTAGCCCCACTATGGCCTTGGAGTCGGTTCAGCCTTTAACAGAAATGAATACCAAGAATCTTCCTGGGTGGCAAAGGGCGGCCGGCCGGCGAGTAAGGCCGACAGCATCACCGTCATCCGTGAACCGATTGTCTAGAAAATGTGGGAGCCTCGACGTCTCACAACCCTATGGGCTTCCACTGTGTTACAAGGAGAGCTTTATTTTTTAACCTGACGAACGACGTAGCAGTTCTGGTGCCTTCCTTCGCTTCTGTGTAATTGTCTCAAGTTCTTTAAACTTACAGAGAAATTGGCAACCGAACAAGTATGATCGATCGTTAACGCTTCTCACATGTTTTTTTGAGGTGCTGGGTTCGAATCTCGGCCAGCATATTACACTCACTGAGTTTTTGTGGTTTTCCTCAGTTCCTGCAGACGTCCTGGAGTGTTGTAGGATTTCAGGTTCTCACAGTGGTGGCTTCTGGGATATACGTAACTCCGTGCAGTTCAATGGACGTGAACCCCAGAGCTCTGCTTGCCACATGTCTTCACACTGGTTTCTTGCTTGGCTTATTCTTCGAACATAAAGATGTAGGCGACATGTTCCTCCGAAACGTTGGTTGACTTTCAATGGATTACACTTACTTATATCCCAGAAGACAGAACTCTCCACACTGTAATATTAGCTCAAATAGGCCACGGCCTCTTCCTTTCACGTCATTTCCAAGTCATTCATTCATTCACTAAAATCCTCTAAAGGTTTATGTCAGTGGCCTGTTCATTAAATACCTCCACTCCGCTATACGTCTTCATGGCGTGGTGCTCAATTAAGCACAGGGCAACTTTACCTTAGCCTTTACCAAAAAATGTGCATTTAAAGTACACGATGTTTCGGAAGTGGGGGGAAGGATCCTAAGATCCGACCATGCATAGGGGTCACCAGAGCCTAGTCTGTGTAAAGATGTCTGTCATCTGAAAGAGAAATTAACATCAAGATATGAGACGGTTCACGTTTCAGCCCGCATGTGGATTATACCGATACGTGAATGATAATATTCAGTGGGAATTTCTGACTATTTGGAAATATGACTTTGTTGTTTATCGGTGATACCAGTTCCTTCGGTTCACCTTGATATGGGCTGCTGCAATCTTGAATTTCGCCTCCCTGTTCTGCTGTGGATTACGTAACGATGCTGTCAATATCAAGATTAAATAGCGTCGGATGATAGATGGAGGGTATATTGGAAAGGATTTGGAAGGAAGCGGTTGTCGCCTTCCCGGAATTTGTTTGGGGAACTGAGGAACATGCGAAAAGTCTCAGTTGGTGATAGCCGGTGTCAAGACCTTGATTCGAACCGAGCATATCCCGAAAACAAGCTTAGAGTGTTGCCTCTAGACCAGCCTTGTCGGCCCTTTTGTTGTCTCTTGTGTGTGTGTGTGTTCATAAAGTGTGATAGTATTGTGCTCTCAAAATTGTATAACTTCTTCCAGAGTGGAAACCAGAAGTAATTTTTGCTTCAAGAAGCCCACTTGCTTGGTGCTAACTTAAATGAAAGCAGTGGCGTCATTTCTAGGGACCGGATTTTTATGCCCTAATAATCCCTTAAATATGTAAAAACTTCCGAAATATGCATTAAAATATGCACATAAAAATTTACACCAAATATTAAAATTGATTTTACATTATTTTAAGACTAACATATCAATATTTAAGTTCATTTTATGTAATCACTGAATGATTCATTTGCAACGCGTTTACATTTGGTTCTGGCGGAAGTGGAACGCTCGGTGCTACTGCTTTAAAGGCTTCTTTTCTGTATGGCGCTTTAACAAATACCTTCTTCACAGAAGACACCAACTTGTCAACATGCGAAAAATTTGCGCGAATTGTTTCTGCAACACGGTGCAACCCATGGGCAAGGCAAGTCAAATGTGTCATATTTGGAAATATAACTTTAAGAGCAGTACCGGCTTTCATCATATAACTTGCGGCATCCGTCACAAAGAGCAATACGCGCTCATACTGAATGCCA